TAGATGTCTAGTTCTATTACGTGGGATGAGCTAGGTGTAATGGATGTGTTAACCAACCGCCAATTTAGTGTCAAATAATTAAGGTTTGGTTATAAGTTAGATGTAATTCTTTATTTATGACTCCTCTTCAAACGAAATACTATTTGTGAGTTTTTTGGTTTGAACTTTGAACAGGTTGAAACATTATATAATGCCTTATAGAATACGTCATATGTGGTGAGTAACAATTAGTAATCCAACTAGAATACGTCACATCCGCACCACACTCTCACATGAAAAAAACCTTTAATTTTTTGTCCTTTTAATTTTCAACGAACGATTTCACTCTCATTTTAAGTCAGATTTATTTTATTTTTTTGCACAGATAAATCATATTAATTGTGCTCTTCAAAATGATATCAACTTTGATATATTTTTTAAACAAAAAAATTCAGGCGTTTTTTATCAGTCTACTGTTTATATCATGGTGGTATTGATTGGTATTGAAATTGAATCTCACTTTATAGAGCGCAGCGAACTTGTCCCATCTGTGCAAAAAATTAAAATCCAAATTTTATAACGAAAAAAATAAGAATCGATTAAGAAAAATAGAAAAAAATAAAATGACTTTAATTTCCAACCCTTTAATCAAGATTTTCTGAACGCACTCAAAACCCACTCAAAACTAAGGGGTCGTTTGGAAGTTGCGATTTTTAAATAGATGTATTGTTGAGAATGCATGTATAATATTATACATGTATTGTCGAATTTGATGCATTGTAGAATACAACGTTTGGTATGTGTGATTGTGTATGTTGCATCAGCTAAAAGCTGAGACAAAACAATCTCAACTCAACTATCTCAACAATCACAACTAAAAGTTGAGATATAACAATCACTCAAAATGAGTGATAGTTTCTGTCACATCACAGAAACAATCCATGTATTGTTTCTGCTAAAAAACAAAAAAAAAACAATACATTGTAAACAATACATGCACAATGACAATCTCAACAAAACAATTGCAACTTTCAAACGACCCCTAAGAGGCGTGTCCCTCACCTGATCTTGGATCGGTTAGGGGGAATTGGTATGATAAGATGACTTGGCTTGGCTTAAGCTAACAAATATCGGGAGCTAAGTTGGTAAGACGAAACAAAATTGGTGGGTTCAGGGCTTAATGGGGAAAGTGATTGGATCCGGGCCCAAAGCTACTATTGGATTGGATCAGGACCTGGCTATGGAGGTTGTGGGCATGTTGTTCTTGAGCTTCATGTGTTAGATTGAATTCTGCATCTTAATCATGCCACAAAAAAACAATATCTCCATCTTAATCATCAGTTTATTAATTAATCATCAACTTGAGCCGGTTATTTTCAGTGTGATGCCGACTAAAATATCTTTCTTTCGCTGTATAATTTCTTGTCTCGTAAGATCATGCAATCCGTATAATTAAACTTAAAAATAGTACTTGTAGTGTATTTGTAAAATTGTAAATCGTAAGTCGTGTATGGTAGATGTGTACCGATCTCGTCTTCCAATCTCGATTTCAAAGCTCTAGAAATGAGAGTTATGAGCTCTGAAGGTTGGTGATCAATCTGAGCAGTGGTAACAAGAAGATGAATGGCCGTTTGTTGAATCAAGTTGAAGTTTGACTTTCTTTTACCTTGTGTCCCAAGCCATTAAAATATCTTCCTCAAATGTATTTGTCCGGTCTCATACAATGTAAATAGAACAAAATTAGCACGTTTCCTAATGACTTGATGAGGTAATTAGTAAAACCATTAAGCTGGAGATGATCTGCAAAATTTTTTTTTGCAGTGCATAAATATAAGGATTCTTGTTCTCCTAGTAAAGATGAATTACACTTTCACAAAGAGGATAATTACAAAGTATTTAAGGAAAATCATAAACTTAATGGTTTATTTTCTAATTTTATCGATTTCGGATATTCATTTTAATTTGATTCTACAATTTCAATAAGTAGTCCCTACAATTTTAATATCTTGACAATCTAGCTACATAAATGAGTTTCTTATATAGGACTTGCGATGTTTTTGTAATTCATAATTTCATATAGGGTAATGTTTATTTTTTATCAAATCTTTTCCAGATTGTTTTATATTATCCAAACCTATCGAAATACTAAGAATTAACCAAATGTTAACTTTCTGTTAGCAATTGTGTTAGAAATATTGACGTGCCAACATGATACTGACTTGGAAGAGACACATTTGTTAGTAATATTGACTTGCCAACATGATACTGACTTGGAAGAGACACATGAAGGTCAACATTGCAAAATTTTAGTATTTTAACTAAGAAAAAAGTTACAAAATTATTAACGATAATGTAAAAATAGCTTATATTTTGATGCATTACGAAAGATTTGACTAATTAATAACATTTTAATAGGTTTAGATAATATAAAAAAATTTGAAAAAAATTTGGCTAAAAAATAGACATTACCCTTTCATATATTACAGTATTACCGTAACTTTGAATACAAAAAAGTGAAAAGCTCACACGCTTCACTTACTAATTAACGGCTACAACAACATTCTAACGAAACCAAAAACTACTTAATTATCATAAAGTGTAATTATAATCCATTCTAGTGATGGAGAGTAGCATAGGCGTTGATGAGACCCAAGGCGTTGCTGGTGAGTTGAGCAATCGTCTCAATCTCCCCTCTCACCACCGTCTTCATCTCACCGGCGGCCATGGCCTTACCGGCGAACCCGTCGTTGCGCGTGCTCTCCTCCGTCAGCGCGGCGCTGACCCACGTCTGCACGTCGCTTATCATCATCTCGAAGTCCGCGCTGAAGCTACCATTGGGTTGGGCTTTGTTTATGGGCTTTTGAGAGAGGTGTGGTGGATTTGGTATTGGATGATTTTGGGGTAAATTATTAGCGCATAATAATTTGGGAGGCAGAGGGATAGTTAGAATGATACCAAAAGTGAATTCGGACTTTGTTCAAAGCGGATAATATCGAACTAATAGAGCTATTTGGTTACGACGATAAGTATAACAATAAATCAAAAAGGAGAGGGTTGTAATTGTAGGTCCTGCCGGACTAGAAGTATATATATCTCCATGCACTTATAAAGCAGTGTGAAATGTGTAGTTTGATTGGATAGCTAGCTCGCTCGCGATGCACAAAATATCTTGAAATTCCCCTTTTGCAGAATAAATATCTGCATGTATTATTAGTTGGAAAGAGCAGTCATAGATATCTTCTTCATCTGAAGTTGGAAACAAATAGCTAGGAGGTGGTTGTTCAGCTCGCTGGGTCCTAAATGATGTCGACGAGGCCTTAATGACCCTGAGGAGTACTAATCAAGTTACTTAATTACATACATGATCTTGGAAGCCGGCCAAGTTCGGGTAGCGGACGGGGGAGGGATGGATACACGAAAACCTAAATCAGAAAAAACTAACCCTAATGTGCATCATTATCAGCCATAATTGTAGTTACGGGTAGATCAATGTGGCGTAGGTACTAAAACTACAAAAGTCGAGATATGGCTAAGGAACAAACTTAGGAAACGACGATTTGATTCGCGGGGGAAAGTTTAGGAGGAAAAATTTTAAATTACATGATGGAGTTTAATATAATTGATGATGATCAAACATAGGAATCAAGTGTGGATAACAGAAGAGTCAATATAAAAAAGTATTGAGAAATGTTGTTGTGACGACTGAGGACTCTAACTAAACGTGTAAGTGTGTAAATCAAAATTATAACCAACATTAGGATGCATTCATACAACTTAATTAACTGAGTATATCGTACGTACCGTACGTGAGGGTTGCATATTCTAACCAAGTGTACCGCTGGATAGGATGACAGACAGACACAAGTGAGTCATGATTATTCGATGCTCTATATCACTAGCTAACAAATATCGGAAATTACTTGGAAACTGAACAAAATTGGTGGGTCAAATAGATTGGTAGATTTGTGGATTGAATAAAATAAATTTGTGGATTGATGATGAATCCAAATCACATCCAAGACTTTGACCATTATGTAAATTTTGACAATTTTTGTTGCTAAAGTTTCATAATGAAATTTTTGGTGCCAAAATGTAAACTATAAAAGTGTACGTACTAAACTATAATTTTTCATTTGAATCAATCCATGAATCCACGAATCCAATTGAATTTGGATCAAATGGATTCGATTACCTGGATATTTTGATGAATGGATTGGATTGAATTCATGAATTTGGATATTAATTACCACATCTAGAGGTACTACTAATCAATATTTGATTGTTCTTGAGCTTCACGTTTAATTAGATTGAATTCTTCATCTTAATCATGCCACAAAAACAATATCTCCATTTGTCATAAGCTTAAACATTCTTTCTCTCACTGTATAATTAAGTTCTCGTCTCATAAGATCATGCAATCATTATAATGGTTGTGGTGTATTTGTAAGTGGACATTTTTTTGTTACAATCAGAAATGACAATTTATAATTCAATCCACAATTTAATTCAATTCATATGCAATTAAATATCCAACTAATTCAATTCAATAAAATTCAATCTATGTGATCCAAATCCAATTGGATTGGTAGATTCATGGATTGATCCATGGATACAAATAGAAAATTATGGTTAAGTACCTATGTATGTTATATTTTCCACTTTTGGTACCTAAATTTTATTTTTTATACAAAATATTTCATTGGTAAATTACATTTTAGTACCTAAATTTTTTTATTATGACATTTTAGTACCTAAACTTTGCAAAAAAAAAATACATATTGATCCAAGACTTTATGGATCCAATCCATTTGCCACCTCTAGATACGATTGAACCGTGACGTAGCTAGAGGAGTTTGACTCTATCACATGACACGATTATAATTCCTTATATATGCATATGAAAATTATTGAACTCGCCTATTTAAGGTAATATAAATATATTCTGCCACTATACTAAAACTCACTTATTGTCATTTGATTCGATTGGCATAATTTAGCTTAGTACCCTGTAAGTTAAATCCCAATCCCAATTATTTATATTATGAAAAGGACATACCTAATTTCTACTTCTAGCTCCGCCAATGCTTGCATATTATTATGTTTTGTTCTATATATTTGCACAAACTGTGTAAAAAGTGTTCATAAACACGAGCTAAGTTCTTTGTATAAAAAAAAAATGTGGAAATGGAACCTTTAAAAAGTGAGTTTCTAAGTACTTCCTAAGGATAGGTGAAAAAGGGAAACAACGGTAGTCTTTCTAGTATTCAAATTTGGGATCTCTAGGCTGAAAAAAAATCACCTTTCACATAATAAAACTAGAACTATTAGAATAACACCATAAATTTCTTCACTTAATTACTAATCAACATCTATCTCACAACAACAAATAACTAACGCAAACGACTTATCAATAATAAAGCACAACCCAATATATTCTAATGGTGGAGAGTAGCATAGGCGTTGATGAGCGCCAAGGCGTTGCTGGTGAGGTGAGCAATCGTCTCAATCTTCCCTCCCACCACCGTCTTCATCTCCCCGGCGGCCATGGCCTTCCCGGCGAACCCATCGGTGCACGTGCTCTCGTCCGTCAACGCCGCGCTGACCCACGTCTGCACGTCGCTGATCATCATCCCGAAACCGGCGGCGCCGCCTTTGTTCGCCGCCATCTCGTCGATGGACTGGCGGATCAGGTCGACGGAGTCCCCCAGCTCCTCCACGCAGTCGCGCATCGCCGCCGTCTCCCTGGGGCTGAGGCCGTGGGACTGCTGGAGCCTGGCCATGGCGGCGGAGGTGGACCTCGCCGACGCCAGGCTGACGTCGAGGGCGGCGGAGGCGAGGAGCTTGGCGCTGGTCTGGATTTTGGTGGCGTGGACGGCGAGGGAGTTGTAGCAGAGCTGAGGGTACGCGGTGGCGCTGCAGGACGTGCGGATGAACTCCGTGTTGGTGGCTGCGCCGTCGGCGGCGGCGGCGGAGAAGGATCTGCTGGAGGCGGATGACGTGGAGGCGAGCAGCAGTGAGATGACTGCTACTGCGGCGGCGAGGAAAGCGGCGGATGAGGAGGCTGCCATTGGATTGGGCTGGGCTTTGTTGTTGGGCTTTTGTGGGGAGATATGTGGTGGATTTGGGTTGTAGTGATGATGAGGGATAAGGGGTAACGAAAGCTCCCAATTTATAGGAAAAGGATTATTATAATTTATAACGCACCAAATTTATTTAGGGGTGGCTATACGGTCCAAGTCCGGTTAAATTAGATCAAATTGATCCGGTTCGGGAATATAAGGACCAAAGATTGGATTGGATACACTCTGGTCTTGATCCGGTCCGGTCCCAATTTGATTTTGATTTTAGATTGAGCTTGTGGGGATTTGAGTGTTGGGGTCTCTTATCCGGTCTTTATCCGGGTTGTTTTACCTCAAATCTAAGCCCCAATATGAGATTGGATTGTTTGCTATCCGGTCTCAGTCCGGTCCCGGTCCGAGTTATACGGTCCAGTTTCTAGTAAAACCAAACAGTCCTGGACCAAATTATCAGCCCTAAATATATTGACCTTATCTGTTTGAATGAATAGCTAGCTGATGAGTCACAACTCACAACACAAATATCTCACAATTTTCCTTTTGCTTAACAAATATCTGCATGCAGGATTAGTTGGAATGGCCAATCACAGATAGGGAAACAAATAGGGCCGAGTGCTTCATTGCTGGGCCCTAAAGTAATGAATGTTGACGACCCGCTTAAAAGTAAAAGTACCAATTAAGATATTGAATTGGGCCCAGCCGGCCAAGTTGGGCTATCGGGTGGCGGGGGGAGGGACCGACCCGAAATATCAGTCGCAAACTGGCAAGCTGTTCTCCCGCTTAATCGGCTAACTCGGCAGCACTATACATATTCAACACCCAACGGCTAGGAATTAAACCAGCTATCTCTAAGAAGAGTCGATTACATGTATAAATTATAATAATGACTTTTTAAAGAAAATAAATTTTTGATACGTTAAAAAAAAATAGAATGGACTTTGATGGCTCATTTGTAATATATATAGAGAAGAAAAAAAAAAACTTATTATGGAACGATAGCCAACAAAAGTTGATGGCCCATTTGTAGATAAGGAAGCATGAAGTATGCATGCATTATTATGGATTTATGGTCCACTAATAATTCACCCATATGCATGGCGCTTCTTCAAGAAACGATTTGACGATTCCATTACTAACAGTCGATGACATTGTTATGGCGAAATTAGTTTTCTATTGAAGTCTTATTTTTTACCGTTAAATTATGCCGTGATTGGTGTAAGCAATTTTGTCGACTCAACCGGAAAAGGTTATTTAAGAGGCTGGAACCGACGTCCATTACTAGCCTGATCTTCGAGCGGAGAATGACCACAAAATTGAGTTGGATATGAAAACCAAATACAAGATATATAAATAGAGTTTGATGAGTTTATATTCAGATTCATTTAGTTGGGTTGAGTTGGATTTTTTGTCCAAGAATTTGAATTTGTACGCGTACACATATGCAAATTATAATTTGGTACTTAAAATTAGAAGAAATTAAGATTTCGTACCTAAATTTAATATTTTTTCATACGGGTTGTCGAAATATCGATGAAAAATTACATTCGAGTACTTAAAAATTGTGTGGTTTACATTTTAATACCTAGAATTTTAAGTTTTACAAATATGTCCATTTTTTTGTGTAGTTAAACCAACCTAAAATAAATGGACATCCCTAACCAACCAATACACATTTAAAATATGAAAGCAATGCCCATATTCTACCCAAACTCATCTATAAAATCTCAAACCCCCCTTCACCATACTCTATCATAATTAATGGGTTTTACTTCATTTTGGGGGAAATTACCACCCTCCCTGGATTTAAGTGAAAGGCACAAATGATGATTCATGAAATTGGGTTCTTATCCAAAGTTCCGTGTTGGATTGGATAGGTAGATAGCTCGCTAGCTAACAAATTTGGTGGGTCCAAGGCTTAATGAGGAAAGTGATTGGATCCGGGCCCAAGGGTATACTATTGATTGGATCACCAAAAGGCCCAGATCAAGTTGGGGGCTAGCGTCTAGCGGAGGAAAGTTGTTCTCAAAACTTTAGATTGGATTCTCTATTGGTATTTGGTAGTGACAATTTTTAACTTGATTCATGCTTACCCAATTTGTCTTCACTTATTTGGGATGAGTATTATGTAGCAGTATCGGACATGATGTGGGTATTGCTTCTGACATGATCCGCTTCGTTTCATGACTCGTTCTATAATGATTTGCATCAATATTTACATGTATTTTTTTAAAATTATATTCTCATCCTAAAGAAATTTTAAGACTATATCAGTCAATTATTTAGACTCAATTATTCCTTCTACTATATCTCATTCATTTTACGAAGTGTTCTCTGTATCTTCTTGTAAAAGAGTTATACATCAACGTTGATTTTTCAAATAACATATAAGAATTGGTTGTCCCATCCTGCCCTGTACCCCACAGATATTGCCAACTTGACCAACGCTTAATACAAGACGGATATAGATATTGAGGTGCCCGCCTCCCGTTTGCAATCACTATTCTCCTTCTTAATCGTGCCACACAAACAAATCTCCATCTTAATGATTATCAGCTTTATTAATGTACAAAAATATCTTCTCTCGCTGCATAAGCCATTAGGTGTGGGCGGATACTCTCACTTCCCCCAGCCCCTTCTCACTTCCTCCAGGGGCTGTGAGATTCACAACCAAGGGCATTTTGGGTATGACAAAAAAATATTAATTAATTATTTTATATTAATTACACATTGAACCCATATTAAATACATGTTTTTTAAAATACATTTATATCTCTTTCTTCCTTTTTTAGCAATTAGCAGCCACTTCGCTCTGACCGACATATTTTTTCTCCGACAAAATCTTTCCGGCAAACTCCCTCCGGTAACCTGCAAAAATGTACCAATGCGTTAAAAATGTACTAGTCCTTTAGGTTAGTAGTAGTGATTTTTTTCGAGTGATACGCTACCAGTACAAGGTACCACTATCATCTACCATATGAAAATCACTACCACTAGGGGAAAAAAATCATATATGAAAATCCAGAAATCATAGATCTGGAAAACGAAGGGAAGGAGAGGAAGAGTAGTGGCAGAGGGACACACCAGAAGAGGCAAGAAGAGAAGGCGACGACGGTGTCAGTGGATGAGGGCTACGACAGAGGAGGGCAGTGGGAGAGAGCTGACAACGACAGGGGTGGAGGGAGGCGGAGGAAGGTCACGAAACGGTAGCGGATGCGGCGGCTGTGGAGGCGCGTGACAGGGGTAGAGGGAGGCGTTGGGCCGTGGGATGGTTGCGGCGCCGACAGTAAAGGGCGCGGACAGGTGACAGAGGGAGGTGGCGTTCGCAAGGGAGAGGGAGGAGGGTTCGAGAGAGAGGAGTTAGGGGTTTTTATTTATTTATATGGAATGAAAAATGGTTGAGCGTGGTAAGTTTTTTCACTTCTAAAAATACTATTCGTTTAATCTTAACCATCAGTTTAAAAAAAAAAAAGACAAGAGAGAGAATGAATCATATGGTTACAAAGTGGGTTGTTAATCTCACAACTCCTAAGGGCTAAGGAGATTGTGACCGTACCCCATCCATATTAGGTGTTGTCTCGTTACAATTTGCAATAATTAATTCAAAACTAATAACGTTTATGTATAAGGATCATTTCAAATAACTAAGAGAATATTTTCATATTTGGTGGCATCGCTTTTTTTTTTTTACTCTATGAATAACCCAGACCTCATTCTCAATATCTTTTGGGTTATAGTACACAACCCTTATACATAAGTGTTCGCAAAATTCCATTCGCGCGAACTATTTGAGAAGGAATGCAATAGTAAATCCGTGCGAGTTTCGTTCAAAGCAAATAATATAGTACTAATGAAAAATATCCGGTCTTAATAAGTTGTATCAGAGTTTGGATATGACGATATATAAACGTTAGTTTAGTGAACCTCATTTTGTGACCTTGACATTTTGAGATATGCGTTTCTCTGGCAGATCAAAAGAGATATGTGCCTGGTAATCTGTCTGGCAGGTCAAGAGAGATTCACATCTGTCTTGCTGATCAAAAAGTGATTTGCATACGGTAAATCCTTGTGTCCAATTGCCTATCGAACCAAGATGTAGCGGATCAAGATAATCGTTGAGTGGAGGACACTAAGTTTTTAGTATTTGTCTTGATAAAAAAAAAAAAATTGTTACGGTGCAATCCAAGTACTACATTAAAAACATAAAAATTAGAACTTTTGCATTTAAGTGTCCACCTAGCCCAAAAATAAATACGTGCGACTTGAACTAGAGCATACAATTTCGTACCAATGAAATATCTTGTCTCAACAGTTTGTTTCCTCTTTAGAGAATTGGAAAATCGAATAGTTCAGTAGTCTTAAAAAGATACTCAACCTTCGTCGCACTTTTCCCCTGCCAATCCTCAGTGGTCGTCTCAAGCTGAACCTTGATGTTGTCTTTTCGTCATTCCATTGGCTGCACTTCTAGTGTCGTGCTTAATTATGGCAGCAAATGATACAGTTCTTCTCTTCGTTGGTTTCAACTTTCCAGCACCCGGGAATCTCATATTCTTATCTGCCAATCTACTCGCTGTTAGAGTTAGAGATAGCCTTTTCCTCGTGCGTAGTCGACAATGGCGTCTCAGCTCTATTCTTACAAAACATCATAAACTAAGCTTCGACGACTTTTACCGATTGCCTTACTCATCTTTATACCACACATCGGAAAAACGATGAAAGTAACACTTGAAATGGTAGAAAAATTCTCGTGGGCGATTAGATTCGTGAATTCGACTGATGTAAAATTATGAAACAAACAATATTCATCCGATAAATGGTCCAAATTCCTAACCCACATAACTAGTATATAAAACAAAATTTATCCGACAAAATGGACCAAATCCATAACTAGTATGTTCGTAAATACACATAAAAGAAATAATTAAGAGTTCAATACGGTCCTCAAAAATTGCTGCAAATTTTTCCTCTGGGAAGTTTTCCTCCCTCCGCACATCCACCCGAACACAACCACAAAACCCACAGATATCATCAAAAACTCAGAGAAATCCTTGAAGAGGCTGCCAAAAAGAAAAAAAAAAAGGTTTCACAATGCATTATAGATCAGAGCATTATTCCCTCTTCTTTTTTGGTGGATAACGAATACGTTTTGTAGGGTTCATCTCACTAGAGCTTATGATCGAAAAGCAAACCGCGACTCGTACGTACCTTCCATTCTGTTTCAGATAGGCAACAAGTTCATCCATGGTCATTTGAAAGACATAAAATGGCGCTTCCTCCTCTGGTGGTGGCTGAACCCAAACTCTCCCACTCTCATCTCTTACAGCCTTCAATCACACGCATAAAAACCCCCCACAAATATAATGGAGATCAATTAATCCTTTATGAAGGACACATGCACGATACAAGTTATGAAAAAAGTTGTTTGGTCGACAAAAACAAAACATGACACACGCTATTATTATTAACAGTTCGATGGAATTGCGCATGTCGGAAAATTGATGATTCGCTTAAACACGATAAACCTCACTCGACAACAAAAGGAAGTCGCGAGAGAGAATACGAACCTCGCCAACGACAGTCAAGGAGGTGCCAGTTGGGATCAGGCTCTCAGTTCGCTTCACTCCGAAAAGCTACAATAATTCATCATGTATTCATGAGTCAGACTCCTATTTAGTTACAAGCTCGCCTAAGAACATACCCAAAAAACAAAAAAACTGCGCAGTACAAACCTTGAGGAATTTATGTTCAGTTGGTGTTTTGGGGCACTCCTCAAAAACTTCCCTTTTCACAGCAAAGCTGAAACGACATGCTTCACGGGCTCCCCGAACATACACAAGCTGACCGGTTCCATCATCCTGCATGTGGGGGAAAAAATCAACTGATTCACTTATCGAACCCCGCAAAATCCGAAGTTATTGAATTCAACTGATTTTCTGACATTGAATAAATAGATTTGACAAAAACTAGAGCACCAAAAGTCTGCGTCTAGAGAGCCAACTCACCAGATACCAGGGAACCTCTTTGGTCTTCAAGTTCGTTAGGGCTGAGTCCCGACTCCAATACCCATAAACAGGATGCTTCCTTTCGAACTCTAGCTCCTCCTAAAGACAAACAGAAACACATGCATGCAAAATCAGTGGTTATGTTTACGTAGAAAACAAGAGATCGGGAAGAGAGTTTTCGACGTACGTACCTTCTCTTCCACCAAAACACCTTTGAGGCCGCTGATCTTGCAAGCGATCGGCTCCGATGACCCAACTCTTCCCGAGACAGCAACAAGAGCAGGCGGGTCTCTCTCTCGATTGTCGTCGTCGAAAAGTTTCCCTGGCATCATGCATGCAACGTCGAATTCATCGATCAAGTATATATTATATTACTGATCTAGGGTTAGGGTTTTCGCGTCAGGGTACACGTACCTAGTTCTTTGAGGGTGAGCCTTGTGGCGGAAGTAAGAAACTCGACTTCCTTCTTGGCGCGTTTGGAATGGTGAAGGAGGGTGAGGCCGGCTGCACCCAGGAAGCAACCGACGGCCAATACGAACCTGCTCGACATCACGATGATTCTTCTTTTCCTAGCTAAGAGAGACAAAACGTCCAAACCCCAGAAATAATAAAAGAGACTAGTTTGGAACCAACGAATAGCTTAATTAGGGCATACATATATAGTGTATGTATATATATATGCTCCAACACGTAACATACTTGGCGTGCAAGACAAACAAGCTAGCTAGCTATCTTCTTCATTCCTTTTCCTTTTTTGTCGTTGAGTTTGACAAGGACACTAGCTAGCTAGGGCACTTCGATATAATGCAGATTCCCACTCATTATTAAATACCTACGTAGGTACTTATACGTTACCATACTCGCGCATTCCCTTGACATTGATAAAACTTGTTGTGATTTCTAGACGTATTATCAAGTTTAGGGATCACATTGTAATTAACCAGCCCGTATTTATTGTTGTTAGGGTTGGTTCAGCCGTGTACTTAAGGGGAAGAGATTTTTAGATAATCCCTAATTAAGAAAAGAGATCAACAACAGAACAACCGAGAACTCACGTTCTCCGTGGACTAGTCTCGTTCTCACCGAACGGGGAAACCACGTCAATCTTGTTTCTTGTTTTCGTTTCCGCACTATCGATTTCTACATGGTATCAAAGTTGTGAATGGATTCACGGCCAATATTTACTGTGAGTGATAAAGAAGTTGACGAGATGCATAGCTCAACCAAGAGCAGTGGCAGCGACACGACCCTATTAACATCGCGGCCTTCCCCTTTTGTCATTCACGACTCCGACAACCCTAGCTAGCTGTTTGTTGGTGAGTTGCTCACCGAAACCAACTACGGAGAGTGGGTCGGGGATATCACGGATTCCTTTGTTGCCAAGAATAAACTTGGCTTCGTTGATAGTTCAATTTCGGTACCGGAAGAGGCCGGGGTGAAGATTATGTTGCTTGGAAGCAGACAAATCCTATGGTAAAGGGCTGGCTCAAGACCGCCATGACCAAGAATATTCTCAGTAGCATTCGTTTTGCGAAAACATCTAGAGATATATGGGTCGACCTCCAAGCCTGATTTGGTCATGGTTGTGCGCCTCGTATCTACGAGTTGAAGCGCACCATTAATCTTCTTCAACACGAGAAGACTTCAATCGCCACTTTCTACACCAAATTACGGGGGCATTAGGATGAAATCAGTTTGTTGGCTCCTTCTCTTGAGTGCACCTGCGGTGGGTGCACATGTGATGTTAAGCGCCTCCAGCGAGAAGGTAAAGAATGTGAGCTCTTGTTTGATTTTTTAATGGGTCTAGATGATGCTTTTAGCATTGTTCGGACGCAGATTCTCTTCGGATGTGGTGCTTCTATCATCTTTAAGTTGTCTAATTCTTTTGAAGTGGCCTGTTTGGAAGGTCTTGGCTCTTCTTCTTGGTATAATGGCTGAGTTGGTTGCTCAACTTCTGGTCTTGATGCTTCTTTAATGATGAATTCCTCATGCACAGGTGGAGGTGATGATTTCTTTATATTTTCCTAAAGTCTTCTCATGGTATCATCAGGGTATGGAGGCAGTTCTATCTCTTTTCCCCTTCTTGTTAATGCCTTTACTTGACTACATTCGGTATTCTCTATGGTCTTGTTGAGTTTCTCCTTCATATAGAATAGTATATCATCATAGGCTACTTGGAAGTAATTTATCTCTTGTAGTGTATCTTTGATGCTTTTGGATGTCCTTCTTAACATGCATTCCTTCCAGCAGCCGTTCTAGGATTGCATTGTAAAGTGTAGTGTTCTTGTTGAGGTTGTTCTCAGCTCCTATTCTTTGTTGGTTGATTTCTCCAAAAACATAATGAGGTTTTGAACGTCAAATGCAGTTATGTTGGTTCTCACATCAATCATTTGGATTTTTTGTTGAATTCATCTCATGTTTGCTTTGATCTGGTTCATTTCCTCTAGCAAATCTTTACTTAAATACTTGATTGAAATGGGGATCACTCACTAGCTAGTTCGGTTGTCCAACTCATACATATGAGAGCCCGCACAGATTTTCCTTAAACTTAAACTTAGTTAGGGGAGTCGTAATGATATATCCCCCTAACTCATAAACTTATCGTGGAAGTCGTAACGATTCATCCCCATGATTCTCAAGAGCATAAATGTTGCACATTTTAAAAGCCTCAAGAGTATAATTGATGCTCTATCTCAAAATCTCAAACGGCAATAGAGTGGCGCTATTGACTAAAAAATCTTAAAATGATTCCACCTTCTTTGAAGGTGAAGGTGAAGTACTTCTTAAAAACAAACTTGTTTCTTAAACTTCAATAATAACTCATAACGTAAAGCTTCAAAGTAAATAATAAACTCATAAACATTTACTTCAATCATGGCTCAAATAAAGCAGATACCATCAACCATAATCATAAACAACAGTAGTAACCACTGCACATGCGCAACGACCCTTCCTTCTTCTTTTGGAACAACACTGGTGCTCCAAAAGACGACTTCGATGCCGCATGTAGCCTGTGTGAAAAAAATGTAATTATTCTACACCATACAAATATTATATAACTAATTAAAATTTCAAACAAATAATCCGAGGTGAAAGGTATCAAAATGTACAAATGGTGTTTGAATTTTAATAAAATGTGAATTACTTCAAAATATGTCTAGTATTTTTCACGACATTGATCAAAATAGACTAAAGAGATTATAAACGAATGCATCCATAATATGTTATTCTATTAAAATTGTCACTATATTAAATCTACAATTAAACTTTAAGCCAAAGAAAGCATTAAATTAGACGCCTCCAGTGCCAAAATCAACCTGGAAAGGAATGCATATGATTCTTCCCAATCACCAAATACGACGGCCAGAGCTTTCTACTTTCCATGCCACGCCTTCTTATAGTTAATCATATAACCATAACGACTTGCAATGTCAGCGATTATGACTTTCACCTTTAGGTCAGGATCTTGCTCAATTAGATGCTTGATAGCCGCAGCAACCACCCTGGATTTCAACTGTCGATGGCCTTGGGATTTTATGGATGACACACATGTGTGTGTGTTCACCACACAGGATATGACCCAATGACCGTGTCTCTTGCTGTTGATGGCCCGAATCCTAACATTGCATCCCTCGTTATGGTTACGGCATCTGACTATGAGCCTTTTCGTGTTGGAATGAGTTGTGTGTCATTCAAAATGTCGAGTCATTGCTTCAGTATCAATGGCGTGCCGCACCTCCTTCTTCGAGCCAAATTGTTGGCCCTTCATAAACCCAGTGAGTGGACCCCATATTGGAACCTCTGGGGGTTCCATGTCGCTGTCGACCATCCAATTGTCGTATGGAATGTGATTATAGTAGCGGACTGGTACACGGTCATGAGCCACCTCATCATCATCATCTGAGTCTGACTCTGGTCCTGAATCATCAGCACCTTCAAGAGGGTCGGAGCTGTCTACACTGACGTTGTTCTCTCCTTCTTCATCGGAGGGGTCACTGACTGGTGCTGGCAGGGCATCTTCCATCCGATCCAGCTCATGAAAGGCACCTTCATCAGCTCCATAATGGTAGTTGTGAAAACTGCCACTGCCTGATTGGAAGTTGTACTGGGGTTGGTTGGCATGGTCTGGTTGAACTTCTTCTTCATATGACGGGTAAGATTGATGATGACCTTCACCTTGCTCTTGGTACTGAAAATAGGAATGAGGATCATGGTAACTTTGGTAGGGATGATCTCCATATAATTCACCTCCACCATGGATACTAGATGTTTGAGCGTCTCAACAATGACCTCCAACGCCTACGACCGGCTCGGTGTAAACGAACATCTTGGCTCTGGAAAGATTGTTGGACCTCAAGAATTCGAGCATGGCATCTACCTCATCCTGAGTGGTTATGAGATCTTCCTCGTGCCACAACGACCCGCCTTCTCTGTTTGGATATCGGTACACCATACGATCAATTCTTCTCGTGCCATCCATGCAAGTATAGTACACATTTGATAGAGGTCTTCAAGCATCGGTCTGGTAGCGACTTTTCTTTTCTGAAAATTGCCACCGACGTAGGTGACCACCTTTCCGCTCTCTTCCGTGTAACCATTCCACCGTAACCCAAACGTGAACTTTTGGAATGCCATCTGCAAAAAGACAGTAGTTCAACTAATATCATAAAAATTAGGCTGGCTATTTGGTCCGGACTGTTTGGTTTTACCCGAAACCGGACCGTATAACCCGGACTGGGACTGGATAGCAAACAATCCAATCTCATATTCGGGCTTAGATTTGAGATAAAAAAAAATCCGGATAAAGACCGTATAAGATACCCTAACACTCAAATCCCCACAAGCTCAATCTAAAATCAAGATCAAATTGGGACCAAACCGGGTCAAGATCAGATCGGATCAAAACCGGACTGTATCCAATCCAATCTTTGGTCCTTATATTCCTGAAAAGACCGGACCGGCACCGGATCAATTTGGTCCAATTTAATCAGACCGGACCATATAGCCAGCCCTAATAAAAATCACAAATCACAATAAAAAGTAATACAAAATAAACTTACGAATTAACGTTAACCCCAAAAACACTAGAGAAATAGGGAGCTACAATAGAAAATTGAAAAGGGAGAAGGAGAGGTGTGAAGAGAAGAAGATTTCCCGGACTGCCTTTTATAGGCAAAATCATCAATGAAAACTGCACCTTAGAGGTGCGGTTTTCATCTGCAATGCAGCCCCACGTCTGTCAATCTACATGGCTGCATGTCTGGTGTCGGAAAATAATTGACACACAAACCGCATTGGGGGATGCGGTTTGTGTTGCCAAAACCGCACTTTGAGGGTGCGGTTTGTTTTGGAGAAGCAAAACCGCATCCCCAAAGTGCGGTTTTGCTAGGTCAAGCCTAGACCGCATCTGGGCCATGCGATTTGGTTAGGTCAGACCGCAAACCGCATGGCCAAGATGCGGTTTTGGCCTAGAAAGCTAAAACGCACCCCCCAAGGTGCGGTTTAATGACAAAACGCACCAGAGGGTGCGGTTTTTAAAAAAGGGTGCTATTTTTGTAATTTCCACGGAATGGGTGCTATTTTTGTAAAAAAAATTTAAAGGTGTTATTTCTGAAAAAATCCTGATTTATCCCCCTAAAATCATAAACTTATCGTGGAAGTCGTAACGATTCATCCCCATGATTCTCAAGAGGATAAATGTTGCACATTTTAAAAGTCTCAAGAGTATAATTGATGCTCTATCTCAAAATCTCAAACGGCAATGGAGTGGCGCTATTGACTAAAAAATCTTAAAATGATTCCACCTTCTTTGAAGTTGAAGGTGAAGTACTTCTTAAAAACAAACTTGTTTCTTTAAACTTCAACAATAACTCATAACGTAAAGCTTCAAAGTAAATAATAAACTCATAAACATTTACTTCAATCATGGCTCAAATAAAGCAGATATCATCAACCATAAGCATAAACAACAGTAGCAACCACTGCACATGCGCAACGACCCTTCCTTCTTCTTTTGGAACAACAGTGGTGCTCCAAAAGACGACTTCGATGCCGCATGTAGCCTGTGTGAAAAAATGTAATTATTCTACACCATACAAATATTATATAACTAATTAAAATTTCAAACAAATAATCCGAGGTGAAAGGTATCAAAATGTACAAATGGTGTTTGAATTTTAATAAAATATGAATTACTTCAAGATATGTCTAGTATTTTTCACCACATTGATCAAAATAGACTAAAGAGATTATAAACGAACGCATCCATAATATGTTATTCTATTAAAATTGTCACTATTTTAAATCTACAATTAAACTTTAGGGTGCGCCTACGGTGACATGCATGTCACGATGACTTGCACCTTTCGGTGGACCTCAGTTAGGATTAGGTCGACCTCATGTAGGATTAGGTCGACCTCATATAGGATTAGGTCGATCTAATCCTACTTTGGAGATTCATATCTTACAATTGGCTCGATGGAAATTGGAGATTAATGGCTTGTTTTGAAGCTAGAGTGTCCCTCTACACATTGAAGTGCTTGGGAGCTCGATAGGAAGTCCAGAAGACCATTTTTGAACTTGATCAAAAGGCTATGCCAAAACTGGAAAACTGGCTGAAAATGGTTAAGTCTAGGATCGTGTTTGTTAAGCCTACTTTGGAGCTCAATTCGAGAAGCATAGATGCGAGTACAGTCCAGGGGCCTCTACCACGTTAAATTAGGTATGTTTTTATACAAAGTCAAGTCATTGGATCAAAGATTGGATATCTGTAAGGCTTCAAACAAAAGGGTCGAAGTTGCTACAAAGACTTTTTTTTTGGCAGACTTCGAGCACAAGCAAACTGCCAGAAAAACAGCCTTCGTAGCAACTTCAACCCTTTTGTTTGAAGCCTTAAAGATATCCAATCTTTCATCCAATGCATTTAATGTGTATAAAAACATACCTAATTTAACGTGGTAGAGGCCCCTGGACTCGATTCGCATCCATGCTTCTCGAATTGAGTTCCAAAGTAGGCTTCACAAACACGTTCCCAGACTTAGCCATTTTCAGCCAGTTTCCAAGTTTTGGCATAGACTTTTGATCATGTTCAAAAAAATGGTTTTCTGAACTTCTTATTGAGCTCTCAAGTACTTTAATGTGTAGAGGGACACTTCAGCTTCAAAACAAGTCATTGATCGCCAATTTCCATCTAGCCAATTGTAAGATATGAATCTCCAAAGTAGGCACCATAAAACTGTTTTTACACTGAAACAACAGATTAGGTCGACCTAATCCTATATGAGGTCGACCGAAAAGTGCATGTCACCATGACATGCATGTCAGCGTAGCAAAGTCCTAAACTTTAAGCCAAAAAAAGCATTAGATTAGGAGGGTCATGAGAGAAAAACATGACGAAATATCTTAATTTTCTCATTAATATGCTTATATACAACATAAATATTTTTTTTAAGGTACTGCTAGATGACAACAAATTCAATTGTTGGGGCTGCTCTTGATTTAAACTCCAAGGCAACTCTTACGGCTCTCTCGGCTAGTTCGTCACGGCAGCCATGACAGTAAACTTGGAAACAATATCTGCAGAACACCATGTCTCCATCAGCGGAGCTAGGATGCTTACAATCCTTATAGCCAGGGATGCTGCGACGGTGGTGACACGAGCGCACATAAGCATCACTATAAGATTCGGTTAATCCTCGATCAACTTCAACTACTATCTTCTCGAGCCCAACGAAAAATTCCAGCACATGCTCCATGAGCTCGCACTCAATTTCACACCCTTGGAATCCAATAATTTCCACCACCTTAGTGCTCTCGTGATAAACTTTGACAGCCCTAGGTACCTCAATTTCTTGTGGGAACCAACCCATTCCACTGTCTTCAAACGGCCGCATCTGCAGATAACATATAGATCACCATTGCACAAATATGCAATGTTTGGTTAACACCAAATAGATGCTCCGACTTGCTAACGAATGGTATGAAACAGCAAGAAAAATAACAATAGAGTACCAGGAGCCTTAGAGTGTGCAAATTAGGCAAAGGGTTCATTACACCAAACAACGCCATGATACTCTGTTTGCGTGTTAAAAGATCCTTGATAGTTAGCAACTTAAGATTGGTGAGTGCACCCAAATCCTGCAACCTCCAAACCTGCAGAAAACAAATGTGAAACAAGAGTCGGATCAAGAAAGCAACTTGTTATAGATTGACAAAAACACATCGAAGCAAGAGCGATAAAGTTACCCTAATAAACGCCTCCACTAGTGTAAGGGATGTCAATTGACCAAGGAAACCGGAAAGGTCCCGGAAAGCAAGATCAAGCTGAGATGGATAAATAGTGACATCCACAAGAGAGACACAATTCTTCACACGCAATTGGAGATCCCGAGCAGACTGAAGATATACAAAATCTGTGAGGTGAGGGGCATTGTCAATCTCAAGCCATTTTAGAGAGTTGCTGTTCATAAGCTCCAGCCGCTTCAATGGAAGTGGAGATGAAGCAGAGCCCACAATCCTGAGCTTCACTAGCTTTGGAGACGAAATTTCCACGGATAGCTCTTCGAGCAAGGGAGAATGAGCAATCAAGTGTTCAAGAATCTCACCTCTCACATTGACATAACTTAACCGCAGGCATTTGAGGTGCTTGATGTTGGACAATCCAGCTGGGGTTTTCATGTGATTGAAACATTCCTCGGAGAAATCATAGACACGAGGGTGATACACCCCAGTCAAGCACAATTCTAGGGAGCAGACTCCTTTTGATATAGCAAACTCCAACAGTGTATCCAAATCTCCCTTAGACTTGCACGATCCTTCGTCCAAGAAAAATTCAGCCTTGACCCTTGTTACTTTTGAGGCGTTCGTCCACATTTGACGCACAACCCCAATCACCCAATCATTCACATAACGACGCAACGCGTCACGAGAGTGCTCCTGATTTGGGAAATTCTTCTTGAACAGAGGAACCACTTCCGAAGCATCAAAGTCCAGCACCAATTCAGCCGATTTCCAAACATCTATCCATCTACTTGAGAGGATTGAAGTCCTGACTGCTTCACGGAAGGGCAAGAAGGAAACAATTTTGAAGAGGATTTCATCCGGAAGTCTAACAGTATGATCCACACATTCACAATTATCAACTTCATCTCTCTGTTCTTCACCCTACCACCACATACAGAAAATAACACAATCAACAACCAAAGTTGTCAACTTTTTTGCCAATTGCTTTGCGACAAAGTAGTATTTGATAAAACAAAAAATAAAAAACTTACTTCGTGAATAGAGCCGACTAGCATCGTCCCTCCGGAAACTTACGCGTTGGAAACTAAAGCCAAGGAAGTGACAGAGGAGCGCCGGGAGCCACAAACCGAATTCGGGGGAAAAGGCAAACACACGATCAAAATAAGAATCGCCAGAAGAGTAGAAGAAGAAGCCACCTCGCGGTGACTTTTTTTTAAAAGGGAAAAGGAAAAGAAACTCAAGAAGGATCAAACGAGGCTATGTCTCAGGAAAAAAAGAACGCAAGCAGTCGAAGCAGAGGGAAAGAAAATTAAGAGATCAAAGTGCCCAGGAATTGAGTTTACGAGCTCGCAGAAGAGGGGAGTCGACGGAAAACACACCAAGAGCCGGAAATCAATCTACAAATATATTATTGTGGAGTTGGGGGCGGTTATTGAGGATTTCAAAATTGCTGGTCAGAGAGCAATTTTCGGTGCCCCAAAATGGTAACTTACCATCACTCAATGCTGGGCCTAAAACCTTCCGCTACACATGAGATAAACCAGCCCATAGGTGTGTTGTTTATATTTGAACCCAGGCCCACTAGGTTCCGCCTGCAACTTCTGATCCACAAACTAAAAATTAGAATAATAAGATTAATCTACAAAAGAATGGCAGAAACCAATTTCCGTCTTTCCCTGCACACCGCCGACGGTTCGCTTCCGTCTTTCTTCTACCGGTATCACTGGCTATTGATTTGTCACAGGTCTCCTGGCTGTCAACAAAAATCCTCGCTCAAAGGTCCTGCCTGCCCAGTTCGTTCCCATATCATCCCGCCAATTTCTTCCATTACTGATCAGAGGGATCTACATATGCTTCATGTCATAGCTCCTTATTGAAACAACATCTATTGATTTGTCACAGGTCCCCTGGCTGTCAACAAAAATCCTCGCTCAAAGGTCCTGCCTGTCTACACCTTTTCTAACCACCAATACCCGACCATGAAAGTCCTGAAAGATAAACACGAAGGAATGAGAGAAGAAGACCCATAAGCAGAAGGCTAATGAACTAGGTGTTACTGTTTGAGTTGATTTCTTTAATCAGTCGTCGCCCCCGTCTCTTTGAGTTTGATCATAATGCTTGGGGATGATTTCAACATTGGGTCGTCATCGTCTTTGCATAATGACGTTGTAGCAGAACCGAGCAATGTACCATGTAAGCAATCTCTTTCTTTTCTCCTTCCCTAACTCGGTTACAGAATAAAATGACAGAAATAGTTAGAAACATTAAACCTGTGCTGGTCTTATTATCTCTTGATCGGTGCACAAATCTCTATCAGCTTAGCTTTCTCAGGTTCCGAAGCTGCAATGTGTTGCAATTGTACTATGTTTCTCTTTCAGGGAAAGGTCGTGCGATTTTCTTACCCCTTGAGTTTGCTCCTCCGGCCGCTAAGGATCCCAATCTGTACGGATTTGGTAAGTTCGTTTAGTGACAGTTATCCTTTGGTATGTTTCTCACCTTATTACAATCTCATTGGAAGAGTGGTTCTGATTCATTGCAGAGTTAGCGGCAATGCAGGCTCAGCTGGAAACACTTACGTCGAACTTGGTTAGAGTCGCGCGAAATAGACGGCGTGCTATTCTCACCACTAAGCGATCGCGTACTGCCACCCGAAATAAAAACACACGTATGACTTCTTTTGTTATAGATTTTGTGTTTCTTCACCTCTACCTAAGCTTGGATCATATAGTTTATAACTGCAAGTATCGGGACCATTTATAAAATACATATCCATTAACATTTTCAGTTCTAGCCTTAGAAGCTGAGTTTGCCAAGCTGAATGCTGCACGCAATAGAATGTCGAGGCGAATTCATCTCCACAAAAAACGAAATGGGGAGCGATTCTTCCGGGAGCAAGCTGGTCTGAATTATGCTTTCCTACTTTTCCAGCTTCAATAGTTAGTAATGGAGACATTGATACGTTTATGATCTAGAAACATTTGCTGCTTTGAATGTGAAGTGAAAAGAGTCATATATGGATTATTTTCTTGAGACGGATAGCAAGTTTGCTTCCCTAGATAAATAGTGGTCATGTTTGGATCGTTTTCTTGAATTAGTCTACCACAATATCCAACAGAAGCATCAAAGACTTAAACCCCTTGGCCCAAAATCATCAATGACTCAGTGAGCTCCCCTGTTACGTGAGATTGTCCAAAAATGATTACCACTTGATTACATAGTAGGATTTAGCTACTGATAATGTAAAATGAAGTTACTGTCTTGCTTCATTCGAACTCCTTACACTTATGCTATTGAAAATTGTTTTGGCTAAAATAAGAAAGCCTATTTTATCATAAGAGTGAGTCTGTACTTGGGTTGTGTTGCTACACAAGGGTATTTTTTTAATCACAGATTATGAGACCACACAAAGTCCACTAATAGTTATTTAGTTTTGTTCCTACAGGATATCCATCCGTCGAAGTATTTACGGTGGGTGCACCGTCGTGCGTGTGCTCTTTTTGTGGGGCTAGCATGTGGTTTTTGGAGAGCGCGACTTCTTCACGATCTTCGACAACTTTGTTGTTTTCACTGTGCTGTAAACAAGGAAGGGTTAGGCTTCCACCTCGCAGGGACCCCCCGGCATTTCTGAAAGATTTGCTTGAGGGTAGTACAGCCATTTGTCGCCATTTTCGTCAATTTATTCGAGGCTATAATGGAATTTTCTGTTTCACGTCGCTTGGTGGCAAGGTGGATCATTCTATTAACAATGGTGGCGGTGTCTATGTTTACTCAATTGGTGGACAGATATATCATCGGATTGGTGGTTTACTTCCTCCTGAAGGTACATCCCCCAAATTCGCACAACTATATATCTATGACACGATGAATGAGACAAGAAACCGCCTGGATTTCTATAATCAAGATAGAGAAGCCAATCCTTTGCGTGATTATGTTGTCGAAGGATTGCAGGCAATGTTAGATGAAAACAATATTTTAGTTCAGACATTCCGCAGTGCGAGGGATAGATTAAATGAAGGTGTAATACAACAAGCTCACATACGGTTGCTTGCACGACGAGCAGGTGATGGGCGAGAGTATGATTTACCGTCGGCTGATGAAATTGCTGCCTTAATTGTCGATGAAGCTGGAGAAGAAATGTTTGGGCATGATATTATTGTTCAGCATCGTACGATGGAAATGGAACAAATTTCTATGTATCATCCGAGCTTGATGGCTTTGCAGTATCCTTTCCTGTTCCCATATGGGGAGGATGGGTGGCATCCAGAGTTATTCTATTATGATGGTGAATGCGTCGAAGGGGGTGATGAGGATTTACCAGGACAACGCAATATGAGTCAATGTGATTACTACAGCTATGTACTTCAGACAAGATTGGAGCAGTCTAATTCATTTTTGTTGGCTGGAAAATTGTTGCAGCAGTATATGGTCAATGCTTATGCGTTGGTCGAGGCAGAAAGACTCGATTGGATTCGCAATAATCAGACAACATTGCGTGCTCATTTTTTTCAAGGACTGTTAGACTCATTTATGAGAGGTGATACTGACTTGGAGTTGTCTGGAAAACATGTTATTTTGGCTGCATCGCATACGGGTAGCCCACGCTACAAGTATGAGAACTTCCAAGATGCCATGGCAATTTGTCGTGCGTTCGGTTATCCGGATTTGTTTATAACATTCACATGCAATGCTAACTGGCCTGAAATTCAGTTAATGAGTGATTTGTTGGCTTTGCGGGGTATAAAGGATCCTAATCGTGCCGATGCTATTGCTCGGGTGTACAAGATGAAGTTGAATCAGTTCATGTATGAAATTAAAGATCGACATATATTTGGGAAGACATGTGCACGTAAGTGGGAATACATTTGTCATTGGCAAATTAAGATTTAGAGTTTATAGTCTTTCTTTGCTAATGGTGGTTAGCTTTTTCATGAACAGATGTGAGGGCTCTGGAGTTTCAGAAACGAGGCCTCCCCCATGCCCATATTTTGGTTTTCTTAGCACCGGAGGACAAATTTTGTGGGACCACAGAAATTGATTCAATCATATCAGCCGAAATTCCCGATCCAGCTCTTGATCCGGAAGGCTACGAGGCTGTCTGTAACTTTATGTTACATGGACCCTGTGGAGCTGTGGGGCCCAAGTCGCCTTGCATGAAAAATGGAGAATGTTCGAAGCACTTTCCTAAGCAATTTTGCAGTCAGACAACTATAGATGAGAATGGATTTGCAAAATATCGCCGACGTCAAAACAATCGATGTGTAACCGTCAAAGGTGTGGCTTTGGATAATCGATTTGTGGTGCCGTACAATCGGTATTTATTATTGCGCTTCCAAGCTCACATAAATGTGGAATTTTGCAATAAGTCAAGGTATGTTTTTTTTTTGTTTTTGTTTAGATGAATTAGTAGTATTTTCAAACTTGATAACAATTGAAATGACATGTTTCATTTAAATTCCAACAGACTTCGTTGACATAGTTATATCTTTAGGTTTATTCTAGGCAGTGTCATTTAATTATGTCTTCAACTACAAGCATAAACGCACAAAGAAGGGTCACAGGTTAGCTGGCTTAGTGAGACTGTAAAAACTTGAACTGATGCAGATCATGTTTCACGTGGCTGGGTGGGTGATATTGATGGGAATTAGTGTACCTCTGGGGCCATGACAAAGGTGATTGAAATTGATGCATCCTTTAGACTGAGGTTAAGTTCAGGATCATACATTGAAAATGTTAGGAAGGAACATCAAACAAGTTTGAATCAAACAAACTCCAGGAATGCCTACGTTAATACATTTACTTGATCATGGTTGTAGGAATGCAATGTTCTTATGATGACATGGTATATGCTTTTGACCTTCTTCGTTTATTCAGCCCAGTCGTATATTTGTGCAAGCTTAGCAATTGTGATTAACCAATTAATTTATATTGTCCAGGGCCATTAAATATCTGTTCAAATATATTAATAAACCCGAGGATCGAGCAATGGCGACGGTTCAGGCTAATCAAGCGACAAATGGACAGGGTAATGCGGGAGGTTCTATGGCTGCTACAGTTCGAATAGATGAGATCAAGGCATTTATGGATTGTCGTTACATAACGGCAGGTGAAGCATGTTGGCGACTGTTTAAATTCGATCTTTATAACCAGTCTCCATCAGTTAAACGACTCTCATTTCATTTGCCTGGGGAAAACAAAGTTTATTCAACTCAGAGATCGAATGTGCAGTCATTGATTGAGTCGCAAACATCGCTGTTGTTAGGATGGATGGAAACTAACCGTACTTCTGCTGCTGCCAGGAGATATACATTTGTTGAATTTCCACAGTATTACACATGGAATAATAAATTAAAAAAGTGGCAGATACGGAAGCAGAGACTGTGTATTGGCAGGCTATATTATTGTTATCCCTCAGCCAAGGATAGGTATTACCTTCGTTTGTTACTTCATGTGGTTAGATGATGTCGCAGTTTTGAGGAGATACGTACCGTCAATGGGGTAGTACATGATACTTTCAAGGAGGCATGTTATG